TAGAGATGCACCGATTGCAATTTTCTTGGCCGATTCCGATTTCGGATTTTCTTGTAAGTGTGACCTGCCGATACCGATATTTGCCGATTCCGATTTTCTTTCTAAAAACTATAATTGATAGCATACACAAACAAAAATCTATACTTTTTTTTTAATGCAAAAAAATTATTAAGCATTACAATTCCCCCAATCTGGACAAAGTTACAGATGTTTTCTCACTTAAAACAACTCTCCAAATAAAGTGCTCTGTAACTAGAAAAGAGGTAGAAATAACAACTAACTGAAAAGGAGTTGCTGTATATAACAAAACAGATGTCATTTCCCACTGTTTCTTAAATTGTAATTTTTTCACTAACATTATTAAATGTGTAATAATAAGAAACTGTAGAGCTGTTACAATTCAAATGAAATCAGTATGAACAAACTCCATCTTTCCACTGCAGCAAACACAGAAGCTGCATCTGAAGTGGCATTAGATGCATTTACACAGACTGTTTGATGAAGCTGAGGTGCCATAAATGCATTTACACTGCAAAATTTCGAATGCATAAAGAATTTTATAAGATTAATGTTTTAAATATTTTTTAAACATACAAATAAGAAATGTTGGGAAAAATGCAATGATAGTTTTAAATACGAAACCAAACCAGTAGGTGGCTGCAGGGCTGGACTGGGACAAAAAATCGGCCCAGGCATTTTTTGGTCCAGGCGGCCCACCACCATTTATATATATATATCTATATATATATGATAGGCCTATACACTACCAGTCAAAAGCTTTTGAACAGCAAGATTTTTAATGCTTTTTAAAGATGTCTCCTCTGCTCACCAAGCCTGCATTTATTTGATCCAAAATACAGCAAAAGTAGTTTTCTATTTGAATATATTTTAAAATGTAATTTATTCCTGTGATCAAAGCTGAATTTTTAGCGTCATTACTCAAGTCACATGATCCTTCAGAAATCATTCAAATATTCTGATTTGCTGCTAAAAAAAACAAACAAAAAAAAACATTATTTTTATTATGTTGAAAACAGCTGAGTATAATTTTTCAGATGATGAATAGAACAGCATTTATCTGAAATGGAAATCTTTTGTAGCATTATGAATGTCTTTATCATCACTTGATCAATTTAAAGCATCCTTGCTAAATAAAAGTATTAATTTCTTTCCCAAAAAAAAATAAAAAATTCTACTGGCTCCAAGCTTTTGAATTGTATAGTTTATAATGTTACAAAAGCTTTTTATTTCAGATAAATGCTGATCTTTTGATCTTTCTATTCATCAAAGAATCCCGAAAAAATTTACTTAACTGTTTTAAATTTTGATAATAATAATAATAAAACAACAAATCAGCATATTAGAATGATTTCTGAAG